CCTTGAACTGGATGCTTAAAACAGGTGCATCTGACTGTGTGTAAAGACCTGGTTGAAAAAAAAAAACCCAAAATCAAAGCTGACCCGGTAAGAACGGTCAGAAAGGCTAAGTGGGAAATGCTGTTAAATAAAGCTGGTTCTAGGAGTATCCTCTATTTACAAACAATAGCAAATTCCTTCGGGGAGGGAAAGGAAGCCGAAGGGCTAAAGGGGATGTTTTCGCCCTTTCCAAAGCAGGATGCCGCTAACATTACCATTACCGTGTCCCCCTGCGGCCATTGTATCGAAAACACTCTATCATTTGCAAATTGTTGACTAGGTGATTCTCGGTATTTTATAGATTATTGGAGAGTGACTACATCCTGCTTCCGGGGGTGCAGGAAGGGCTGGGGTCACCTCGAAGCAGAAGCAAACAACAACATGTGCGTGTGGGTCGCTCCCTGTTAGGCCGTCTTGGAGTTAAACTGGTGCCCCCATTGGGGAAAACTAACTGGTGACCTTTGCATAGCGCTCGGGTCTTCGGGCGCTCGGGTCTTCCGGAGCCGGGATCCTGCAAGGCGGGGGATCCGAGTAAAGGGTGCACGTTATTCGGGGTCTAAGTGTCAAGAAGGGTTGTCTTGTAGGCCCTGGGGGCGGGGGGGAGGTGGGCAGATGGGCATGTGGAGTTTTGTTGCCAAATGGATCTCATGTGGGCACGTGGAGACGGGGCCAAGGACAACCAGGCTCTGAGATCCAGCTCTGGAGAAAGAGAGTGTCTTGAGTGAGCAGGAGAGGGAACAGCGTTGTGCTCTTCTTAAAGGGTCCTGAGGCTGGCCAGGAATGCCCGTCAGAAAAGTAACGGACTGGGGCGCCTGGGTGGCTCAGTTGGTTGAGCGTCCGGCTTCAGCTCAGGTCATGATCTCATGGTTCGTGAGCTCGAGCCCTGCGTCGGGCTCTGTGCTGACAGCTCAGAGCCTGGAGCCTGTTTTAGATTTCTCTCTCTCTCTCTCTCTCTCTCTCTTTCTCTCTGCCCCTCCCCTGCGCAAGAAAAAAAGAAAAGAAAGAAAAGAAAATTCCTTTAAGAGGAATGAGAAGGATCTTCCCCCGTGGGCGAGTTGGCTGCTTGTGGGAACAAGGGGTCATCACCCACCCTTGGTTGGGAAGGGTGGCCCGGGCTCTCCTGTGTTTACTCCACACACCAAACAGAGCTGGGGACCTTCTTTAAAGACTCCTGTTTAAATGAACATGCACTTGGGGAAACATGTGTTGAATAGAAGTTATGAATAACTCACTGTATCCACATCTGCAATGATTGCAATTTATTGCAGCCATATCAGCAAAGCACAATTTTCCATGGACCACTGAGTTTTGTATTGCAATGGGCAGTAATCTTAGTCACTATCAGAATTCTACTTGAACTTCTAGCTTGTGGGGTCAGGCCCGGGCCAAACCCTCTCTGGGGCTAAACTTCCTAGTGTAATGAATAAAGCACACATGCCATTAAGGAAGGCAGGATGTGCCTAAGACGTCACTGGAGCTGGGCTCCCTGCGAGGGACTGGTTTTTCCCTAACCGTAATTTGCTCATCAGTTAATGTCCTCATGTACCCCCACCCTCCAGTTAGAACACAACTGTCGAAATTCGTTTCTTAGGAAATTATTCTGTTGAAGGGATATTGGGAAAATTCAGATCATGCACCTAGATTCATTATTATTAAATTATTCATTATTGGCAAGGTCTTCACTTTTACTCTTCTGAAGACTTTGGGTTAGGATGTTTTGGCCTGAGGCCAAAGGAAAAAATGTGTAACAGTAGATTTAGGCAATCGTAATCAAAAAACCTTCCTCAACCTCTTTTTTTTTTTTTAATGTTTTCATTTATTTTTTGAGAGAGAGAGTGAGCATGGGTAGGGGAGGGGCAGAGAGAGGAAGACAGAAGATCTGAAGCAGGCTCTGTGCTGATGGCCCTGAGTCCAAAGCGGGACTCGAACTCACCAACCCTGAGATCATGACCCGAGTGGAAGTCAGATGCTCAACTGACTGAGCCAGCCAGGTGCCGCCCCCCCCCCCCAAACCTCCTCTTTAAATGCTTTTTAACTCTCAAAAGACTCTATGTGACATTTAATTTTCCTGTCAATACTCTGCACAGGGTTTCTAGAGCATTCTTTGGAGTGAAGGCACATCACTAGATGGATGTAAAATCTCATCCACGGAGACACTCCTCCAATATCTCGGGTTTCCCAAGTGCTTATAAACTGTCAGGGACTTCAAAACACCAAAGATTAATCCTGGCAGAGTCCAGAGGGAGAGGATGACCACCCCCAAAGGGAACATCTGTCACACCCTTGATGGTGTCCCCCAGCACCAGCTCCGAGGCTCGGCTCACATCTGGCAGCCTCATCCACGGTGTCTCAGCCCGAGGAGTCGGGATCAGCCCCAGGAAAGTCGGGAACACCTCAGGCACTACTCCCCAGATGGGACATGGGGACTCAGTACCCTCTGGGGCAGGGGAGTGGGGAGGGGTGGGAGTGACTCTGAAAGATGCTTCTAGCAGCTCCCTCGCCCGGTGTCTGAGGAAACTTATCAGTGACCCACGCCTCGCCCAGAAGGGCCCTTCTGCAGCCCACAGAAGCCCACGGGGAGCTATACTGGCTCCTAATCAGGCTCGGGTCCGTCTCTACGGCCACTCCCCGCATAAAGAGGCTCGGCGGCTGCCGTGGCCTCTGCCACTGTGATTAGCTGAGCTCCGTCTCCTGGCCTTACTGAGTGATGCCCGCTGGCTGTCAAAGCCAAAAGCTTCACCTTCCTGCTGCTAAGACAGGAGGGCTCCTCGCTGCCAGGCCGCGATGCAGTGTGGCGAGCACAGGCCTCAGATGCAGAGAAAAAAACCCAGGCCCAGAGGCCCCACAGCTTGGAACAACCCCCGCATCAGCTTCCCACCACTGCTGAGTGCAGGTGCCCTTGGCACTTCAGATCCCGAGAGCGAGGGGACACCACCGCCCGACCTTGGCTCCTACTGCCCTCTGCCCTGAGAGCTCAGCAATTGCTCCCCTGAGCCCGGGAAAGAATTCCTCCAGGGGCTGGGCTCACAAAGGTGCGTCTGATTGGTGGGACCCGGGTCACATGTTCGTGTCCTAGATGCAAGGGATCCTGGGAAATGTAGTTCTGGCCTGAAGATCTCTAAAACTAGGAAAGGTATTTAGAAAAGGTTGCTAAGCATTCTGCAGGGTCCCCCATTTCAATGGCTGTGGCCTGGAAATTGGCGTTATATGTGTTATTCATTTATTATACATATATCCATATGTAATTACGTACAATTCATTCATTCATTCATTCATTTGAAATCTGCTCTTGTTGTCTCTTGAGAAGGATGACGGGTTGTATCTGGCATGGGTCTGGGTTTCTCGTTACCGCTGTAGCAACTCACCGAACGCTTAGTGGCTTAAACCAACACAGTTTTATGATCTTATGTTTCTGGAGGTCGGACCTTTGAAATCAGTGTCACTGGGATAAAATCAAGGTGTCTGCGGGCTGGTGTTTCTTCCAGAGGCTCTAGGGGAGACTCTGTCTCCCCATCTTCTCCAGCCTCCAGAGGCCACCTGTGCTCCTTGGTGCACGGTGCCTTTCTTGCCTCACCCCATCCTCTGGCCGCCATGGTGAATCTCCTACCACCCCGATCCCCCCTGTCCCTCCTTTAGGGACCCTTGTGATTACATTGGCCCCACTCAAATAATGTCCCCACTTCAAGGTCCTTAACTTAGTCACACCTACAAAGTCCTTTTCACCTGGCATTAGGGGATATGGGATTAGGATATGGCTCTTTGGGGCCATGAATCACCCTACCGAACCCTAGTAGGCCAGCAGTCTGTCTACAGAAAGGGCCCTGGAGGCAGAGCGAAGTTCCTAGGGTTGAGGGTCCAGTCTCCGTCCTTGCCAGTGTCCCAGAACTGATCCGGTTTGGAGAGAGTGGCTCAGGACCATCAGACACCAGGACGTTGTCGAATAAACTAGAATGTCAGTTAACTCATTTATTCCTTTTTAATTGGCCCTGTTCCTTTCCAGGGGGTGGGGAGTCTGCCTGGCGCCCGAATGTCTGTGTGGCCACCCGGAAGGCTATTTGGTGAACATGAACTCAGGCAAACAGGGGTGGATGTTCCCAAGGGGTGTTTCGCCCAAGGAGTGGGGAGGCCGGCGTGCTGTCCTTGACGGATAACAGAGCTCACCTTACTCTTGGCCAGATACCCTATTTGGACATAACAGCCAATGAGCACGTTACTCCCCCTCGAGACTCAATCTCAGTCTCTCCCTCCCTCATGGCGCACATTGACGTCATCACTAAGCGCCATTTCTTCTTCCTAAATATAAATATCCCCACTGCCGCCCCTCAGACCAAACCATCTCATCTGGACCGCCATGACACCCTCCTACTGGCCCTTCCTTGCCCTGGCCCCCTCCTATCAAATACTCCACCCTGCAGTCAGAACATTCTTCTTCAGATAAAAGCTGATCGCCTTGCTCCCTTATTGAAAGCCCTCAATGTACCCTTAGCGTTAGGGTAGAGCCTGTGTGTTAGTCCAGATCCCCCCGGAAGCAGACATCAGGTTAGGATTAAACGTGCAAGGGTTTTCTTTGGGGAAACATCTGTGAAAGAAACAGGAGAGGGAGCTAGGGGAGGCTGGGAGGGCCATCAGGGCAGGAAAGGGGGCGAGAAGGGAGGGGACACGTGTCCTACGCTGCTGCGCGGTCCCAGGAAGGCTCAGCAAAGCTGCCCTCCTGGTCCTGGGACTGAGCCCATCTCGTCCCCGTATCACCCCCCACCCCCACCCCCCAGGCACTCAGTCACGGGCTGGGGGCAGCCGGGGAGGCCTCTTCCCCAGGGATTCGGGCCCTTGCACATGCGCTAGGTGCCCGTGCCTCTGCCGCGGCCCACCTCCTCAGTTCACGTCCTGCCCTCCACGGTTCTTTCTCGAACCCGAGTCTGCCAGTGCTGGTTGCTCTGCCCGGATTAACCAGTTTCACCCCCCTTTCCCTTCACCTCGAGTCTCGCTGGAACACCCCCATTCCTCCGCCCTGTGCCATCTCCTGACTGCACTCAACATCATGAACACCTGGTAGGAGCCATCAAACCCCTCGTATGTGCTTAGATGCTGTAAATAACCAGCGCGTAGAACCTCCTGACGTCTCACGAGGGGATTAGATCTCATCTGGCAGCTGTCTGCATCCTGATGGCGAAGGATGGCGTCTAGACCCACCAAGACAGACACCCCCCCCCCCCCCCGTTGACAACCCATCCGGTCGTGAAGGGCGGCTCGGCCTCTGACGGAATGCTGTTCAATTCCGAATTGAGGTGGGGGCTTCTGGGAGGCACCACATTTCGGGGCCCGGGATGGGGCCTGCTGGGGAGAAGCGGTCTCTAATGGAAATACTAAAATGTGTTGAAATAACCGCACGGGGCTGTGCCTCTCCGAGTCCAGAATTCACATTTGGACTCTTCAGACTAAGTCCAGTGGCCCCACAGCCAAGTGGAAAGTTTTCTCAAAGGATGATCCTGCCTGAGAACCAACTGAGGTGTTTGCCGAGAAAGCAGATTCTTGGGCCACACCCTGTGTCTACTGAGTTGGAACCACCAAGGGTGGGGCCTGGGCAACTGCTCTTTTAACTGGTGGCTCTGAAAGTTTATGTGGTCCAAGTGCCACCAGGAGGCCACACAATCAAGCAAGGGAGCAGAGGAGCCGGCTTCCTGTGCCTCTCACACCACCTTCAACTTTTAGGAAGTTTCACAGAGGTAGGCAGGGTCCGTGAAAGCACTTTCCTTTGGACCGCGCCATTTTTCTTTTCCTTCGGAACTTTACCTCCGTTTTGGGAGCTTACAATTCGGGGAGGTTGAGTGGTCTGGGGAGGGCGGTCTGTTTTCTCACCCCCGTGGCCGACTTCCCCTGAGAGGCTCAGGGCCAAGGTCCCGAGAGAGAGAGAGAGAGAGAGAGAGAGAGAGAGAGAGACAGAGAATTCGTGTTTCCTGACTCGGGGGTCTGGGGCCCGAACACCCAAGGCCATCATGAAGGGCCTAAAAATAGAGCCCAGAGGCCCAGCCCAAGCCTGAGAAGAGGCCTCCCTGGGTTGCCCAAGAGGGATCTGGACAAAGGAGTCTGTCGCCCTCTAGTGGGAGAGGAGCTGTCTCCCTACCCTGCTCAAGGGGCAGGAACCCAGGCAGGCCCGCCCTGGAAACGCCACCTCCTTCAACTGTGCTACCTGCCTTTAGTAACTTCCACGTGATTCTAGAATGTGTTGCTATGACGCACGCTCTTTTACTACCGAGAACCTCCCATTATCACCGGGTTTTAAGCTGTTCTCATTATTTCTCAGGGGGATTAAAGCGGCTACCACTAGATTCTCACACCTAACAGCCTGTCAAAACACCTAAGCGCCGTCCGTCTACGAAGGCTCTTCTCCTGGGGGGCGCCCAGAGCTTTGGCACAGACCCTGGGGGACAGCGAAACAGGAGGAGGCCTTCCAAGCCGGGAAGTTCGGCTGCACCGCTCCGGGCTCCGTCTGTGGGGACAGATGTCTCTGCTGGCTAAGTTACCCCCCCCCCCCCCGTCCCCAGCTGAAGATACCAACTCAGTTACACTTCAATTGGAGCAGGGAAGCACATTTTGAGAAAGAAAATATACAGATGAACAGCAGAGTGTCTAGTCAGGATTCGAAAGAAACCCCATTTTGACCGAAAGACACTGGGCTTTTAACAAAAGCTTACAAAGCAAAAGGGCATGCCACCTCACACAGGTGACGAAGGCTGCTATGAAAGACAGAATGAAAGAGAGAGAGAGAGAGAGACAGAGGAATTGCTACCTGTGTGCACTGTTGGCGGAGGCCTAAAATGGAGCAGCCGCTGTGGCAAACAATAAGGCGGCTCCTGAAAAATATTAAACACAGAATTACCATGTGATCCAGCAATTCCGCTCTTAACAGGGTCTCAAAGAGAAATGTGTGCACCCATGTTCATAGCAGCTTTATTCACAGTGGCCGCCGGGTAGAAGCAACCCAAGTGCCTGATGCGGATGAACTAAGTGTGGTCCATCCATGTGGCGGAATATCGTTTCAGTCGTGAAAAGGAAGGCGATCCTGACACCTGCCACAGCAGGGATGAGCCCTGAAGATCTTATGCCGAGTGAGATAAACCAGACGCAAAAGGGCAAATACTGTGTGATTCCATTTCCACGAGTGGTCACACCAGTGGTCAACTTCATAGAGAAGAAAGTAGAATGGGGGTTGTTGGGGGGTGGAGGGTGCTGGCGGAGAGGGGTGTGGGGGTTATTGCTTAATGGATGTGGGGTTTCAGTTTCCCAAGAGGAAAAAAGTCTGAAGAACTTTGGGTGATAGTCATGGGTCAACGTAGGTCTGATTATAACAAATGGCACCACTGTGGTCTGGGACGTCAATAGTGGGGGAGGTTGTGTTGGGGGGGGAGGGACTGGGGCATATGGGAACTTTCCCTCTCTACTCCCTGATCAATTTTGCTGTGAACCTAAAACTGCTCTCAAAAATAAGTTTAGGAATTTATTTTAATTTTATTTATTTATCTTAAGTTTATTTTATTTTTCAGAGAGACAGAGACAGCATGAGTGGGGGAAGGGAAGGGGGGGAGAGAGAGAGAGAGAGAGAGAGAGAGAGAATCCCAAGCAGGCTCCACGCCATCAGCACAGAGCCCAATGTGGGGCTCGAACTCACAAAACTGTGAGATCATGACCTGAGCTGAAACCAAGAGTCAGTCGCTTAACTGACTGAGCCACCCAGGTGTCCCTATTTTTATTTTATTTTTAGACAGAGGTGAGAGGGGCAGGTGGAGAGACAAGAAATCTCCAGCAGACTCCATGCTCAGCTCAGAGCCCGACAAGGGGCTCGATCCCACGACCCTGGGATCATGACTTGAGCCAAAGTCAAGAGTCGGCCGCTCAACTGACTGAGCCGCCCAAGTTCCCCTAAGGTTAGGAACTTAAAAACCAAAGTTCTGGAGGTGAATGATGGGTGCGGTTGCACACAATATAAATGGCCTTAACATTACTGAACTGTACCCTTAAAAGTGGCTAGGATGGTACATTTCGTATTACATTACCACAATTAAAAATAAAAATGAAAAATTTTAAAAGGCAGGGAGGGAGGGGTGGGCTAGAAAAGAGATTGTCATTCAGGAACCTTCGAATCTTGCGTGTTTAAAAAATGTCATAAGTAGAAGTTCGTGTTTTTTGGATATATTCTGAAGCCCATTTTATATTAACAAAAAATAATTCAAAATAAAAAGTGCCCGGAACAGAATGCGAAGCTGGCAAAGACGAAGATCTCCAGGCAGGCAGGCAGGCAGGCAGGAAGCAGAGGGATAAACACATTGGGGCCTTGGGACCTTTCCTCCTAGGAAACTGATTGGGGGCGGGGAGCGGAAAGCCCAGAGGGAGAGGGGCGTGGCCCGGAAAAGGAACTCCGCCCCTCCTGGGAAGCCTGCGAGTCTCTGCGCCAAGGTCACCAGGGAAGGGAAGCGGCCCTTTTTCAGGTTGGAAAGTTGCACTGGAGGGACAGATGAGGAAAGCTGGTCCGTTCCTTCCCCCCAAGAGCCTTTGCGATGCCCGCCCCCCCCAATCCTTGAAACCGTTAAGTGGGAGCTAGAGAGGATGAAACACTTAGAAAAAGAATGCAGGTGGGGCGCCTGGGTGGCGCAGTCGGCTAAGCGTCCGACTTCAGCCAGGTCACGATCTCGCGCTCCGTGAGTTCGAGCCCCGCGTCCGGCTCTGGGCTGATAGCTTAGAGCCTGGAGCCTGTTTCCGATTCTGTGTCTCCCTCTCTCTCTGCCCCTCCCCCGTTCATGCTCTGTCTCTCTCTGTCCCAAAAATAAATAAACGTTGAAAAAAAAAAAAGAAAAAGAATGCAGGAAACCTGTCAGAAGCAGGTTTCAGATTTGCTTTTCCCTGTGAGCAGCGGGCCAATCTGAGTGAGGTTCAGGGCCAGGGCTCGGTGCTTTGCACGGTCCCAAAGACAAAACCCGGAAGGATATTCCGTGTCGGGGTGCCGGGGAATTGGGACAAGCCCAGCAGGCCTGAGATGTGTCCAAACGAGACAGGTCCCTTGGGAATAACGTCCGCGGGGAAAGCTTCCAACCACCTGGTGTCCGTCAGACGCTCCGCTGGCAAACATTCAGGATTGTGCAGCACAGTCCTCCTTTAAGAAGAGAGATAATTGACACGCAGATCGCATTGGTTTTAGGTGTACAACATAATGATGTGATACACGCATATATCGTGGTAGGATTCCACAAGAGGCTCACATAACACCCATCACCCGGCTCGGTTTTAAGTTTTTTCTGGTGATGAGATCGTTCCAAATCTACTCCCTTAGGAGCTTTCAAATATGTAACAGGGTATTGTTGACCGCAGTTACTGTGCCCTGCGTTACACCCCCAGGACTTACCCTTCTTACAACTGGAAGTTTGTGCCTTTTGACCCCCTTCACCCAGTTGGCCCACCGCCCAAATGAATAGATGTATCTATTCATCTTTCGATGGACACTTAGGTCATTGCCCTGCCCTGACTATATAAATAATACTGCAACAAACACGGGGATGCAGGTAACTTTTCGAGACAGTGATTCCAGCACATTCTTTTAGCGTCTTCACTGGTGGCAAATCTTTGATCTTTCAGGGGTGGGTGGAGTTTTTGGAAACACCCAAAAGCTATTCACAGCTAACTGATGTGCAGGAAGAAAACCTAGCTGACCACGTCCCCCTCGTGGATCATATGCCGACTCCGCAGGCATCTTTAACAGGAGAAATCCAAAACGTATTCGAAGCAAGGCGTCCACGCAGCTGTCTTCCCAGTGATTATATGGAGAGGCTAACAGTACTTCGGCTATGAGCTGTGGACGAGTTTTCAAACAGCTTTATCTTCTCACGGTTTGCTCTCACCAACCCCAAATAATTGTGGCTCGCGGCTTCAAACACCCGCAGACAGAGCTCCGTGAAGATCTGGGGAAGATCATCAGTCATTGCTTGGCTGCCGCTTGAGTTTGAACAAGTTGTTGCTGACAGTGGCTGCCGTGTAGACCTGGCTTCGGAGAAGGCTCTGGGACACACCAGTGTTCCTTTCAACTTATGCCAAGACCGGTTGCTCTTTAGCTGGGGGATGAAGTATAGGTGCCGCCGAGCCTGAAATAACCCTTAAGTCAGCTCCCCGCGGCTGATGCCACAGACCAGAGCCCGGCAGGCGACAGTCACATCCCCCGGGGTCCACATGTATCGCAAGATGCTTATATTCCATTTAGAGGCTTCTCCCCCCCCCCCACCCCAGGTAACAATTTCAGTTTTGTCTTCCTTTGAGCATTTCCAGGACTGTGCTTTTGTGTTCGTTTCACGGAAACAGGCGAATTTCAAGCTGCATTGAGGAGAAAATGAGGCCATTTCGAGAAAGATGGTCAAGTGCGGGAAGGGACAAGCGCCCCTTCGTGGAGAGGCTGATGCTCTCAAGCTCTCCCGTGAGCAGCTGCTGCTTCTCCTCTTGGCCAGAAGCAACACATACCTAGAAGCAAGGGGCCAGGCGGAGGGGACTTCCTGTGGGAAGAAAGCCCTGGTCTCGCTCCTGCTGGAGTCAGGCATTCTCCCTCCAAACAGGTGAAATTGAAATAAAAAGAAAATCACATATTTTTTTTTTTAATTTCTATCTGGGCAAAGAATTTTTGTTTGTTTGTTTTTTTAAGTTTTTATTTATTTTGAGAGAGAAAGCATGAGTGAGGGAGGGGCAGAGAGAGAGAGAGAGAGAGAGAGAGAGAGAGAGAGAATCCCAAGCAGGCTCTGCCCTGTCAGCACAGAGCCCAGTGCGGGGCTCGAACTCCTGGACCAAAGGGTGAGATCATGAGCTGAGCTGAAATCGAGAGTTGGATGCTTAACCGACTGAGCCACCCAGGCACCCGGGCAAAGGCTCTTTAAGCTTAGGTTGCACAGAAGAAAATACCAAAAGAAAGACAACATAAAACATTTTAATATCTTCATTATTTATTTTAATGTAAGGTATCGCGTGTATACAATGGCCAAGAAAAGGGGAGGGCAAAAAACCCCAGTGAAATGTATTTTACTTGGCTTTCGATCTGCACCTTAAAAAAATATATATATATATATATATGTATATATATATATATATTTACTTAGATACCAGGGGTGCGGGTGGAGAGGAACAGAGAGAGAGAGAGAGAGAGGGAGAGAGAGAATCCCAAACGGACTCCATGCTGTCAGCATGGCCTGAGCCAAGATCAAGAGTCGGATGCTCAACCACATGGGCCACCCAGGTATCCCTCGATTTGCACTTTAAGTAGCATTTATTGGGGCACCTGGGTGGCGCAGTCGGTTAAGCGTCCGACTTCAGCCAGGTCACGATCTCGCAGTCCGTGAGTTCAAGCCCCGCGTCGAGCT